GTAATCATTACAAGAAAAATACATTTTACCTAAGACTCCCTGCACACTGTGCTTGTCTGTAGACAAGCATGTTGTCTACAGAAGCAAGTTTTCGTATAACAATAATATTCGAATATAATTACGAGCTAACCAAGAAATCCTCTGGGGCATTGAAACGATAGAAGAAAGTACACTCACAGAAAATATTTCTGGATTTAATACTATTACTCTTCAAACTAGTATAAAATAGGCTCAATATAAGGCTAATCATATTTATAAAAACAGAATATTTTAATTTTAATTGGAATATTCTTAAATCTAGAATAAAATGATCTTGATGCTACAATAAATAGTAGCATAATATTACACCAAATACTGGCGCTAGTATCGGACATTATATCGGGCGATGATTTATTCTATACGCAAGAATAAACAAGCTTAAATTTATATGTATTATTCTGATTCAAGATAATTCAAGATAAAATGTCAATCATTTAATTCAAGGCAAAAGAATAGAAATTATTAATTTAATCTTAAAATGGTTTTAGTTTTATTGCATGAGATAACGGTAAGATTAAATGCATCAAGAATAGTTTTCGTCTCATTACTAGAAATCCTTTTTTTGAGAGAGTATGTATCATGTAACCTTTTTATTTTATTCATATTATGCTTCGAAAAATCGTCGAATAATATTATTACAGCTCTGATATTATTCTTATTTTGAAAATTGTGAAAGTATTTTTCTATACAAGAATCTTTATCGATATAAAATTACATTTCAAAAAATAAAGACACCATAAAACTGTTATAAATCTCATAATAGTTTTCAAAATTTTTATATCTTAAATCATATCATATAGACGAACGTAAACAAACACAAATGAACAATTTATTTTCAATCAATAACTATTTAAACATTTAAAATAAATTATTCGTTTTTACTTTGATCACGCTCGTTTTCTTCAATTGATTTTCTCTGGAATGGATTTTATTTAAAAATAACCATAATATGTTTCATCGAATGTAATAATTAGAAAAAGTAATCTAGGATTCATATATACAACAATAATGACAACAATAGTACAAAACAATTTATATATTATTAAAAATTATATTGTAAAGTTAATAAGAATAATTAATAAAATCAAAAAATTATTTATTATTCTGACAATATCGCAATAATCTTATGTATATAAGAGTAATGATGATAACAATGAATAATGTGCGAGTAAAAGCATTTATTAAGCTTTTAAAGTATGATTTTTTAACTTCGAAACATTTTTTATTCCGAAATTTCTCTTCGCAAATGAGAAATTATTTGATTTATTCTGTACAAATTTCGAGATTACAATTCTTGGAGAGAACAAATCCACGTTAGACAAAAACGTACCCAACCAAAAAGTATTGGAAAAGGAAAACGGCAACAAGAGGAAAGAAAGAACAAAGATATTATTATAATTTGAATCGTGGCTTATTTCGACAATGAACTTTCAACAAGCTTGCAATAACAAGGGCGTGAAAAAACGCCGCGAATGATCTGACTCATTTCTTTTCGAAACGTAAAATAGGAGTCGACAAACGAAATTACATGAGGAATTCAAGTTCCGCAAACTCAGCCTCGGAATTACAAACGGATTTGGAGAAGAGAAGATGTAAAATATTCTTAAAAAATATGCGTTATCTCGCGCGGCTGTTTTTGCTTAACTCTTAACCGGGGGCGCCTCCCGACCGAACGTTAGTGGGCGCGCGCGGCACTAAGTGCCGCATCACAAATTTATTATTAATAATTGGATAAATAATTGGCTAAATAATCGTTATAAAAACAAGTAAAATATATTTATAATAAAATATAGTATTAAAATTTAACTATAACATTAAAATTTTGTGTCTACTTTCTTATAAAAAAAGACCTGCATTTTCAATGATTTTTCAGAAAAATGAATTTTGCGGCAGATAAAAAGCACTCAGTGCCGCGACGCGCCCGGTTAAGGATTAACACAATGATAAAGGCATTCAGTGACAATCAACGCAGTAAAATTTTTGATCGGATACAGAAATATTAAACATTCACCAATTTCATTATTTTTGAACACTATCATCTATCGACTATTTATTTATTATCCTTTTAGATCATGAATGCCGCATCGTACATCCGCAAATCTTTCTCTGAAATTGGAAAAAAATTGTTATGCTTCAATAAATCGTGACATGTTATTTACTATTCTACTCTCTTATATATGGATAGAAGCGATATCTTTTTATCTTACAGATTTCACAAAAGATATATGAGATTGAATCAAATATTCGTGACCGATGCGTAATGCTCGGATAAACCAATGTGAAGAATCATGACTAATCCATGATCGATAATGACGGAAAAGGGACGATAAATGGTATGAACGAATCCGACTATATCATTTGATCTATTCAAGTTCAAAAAGCGCGCGCTCTTTCCGCTACATGTAAAAGATCAAAATGATCGAGAAACGTGCTTTAAATCTCAATTAGTCAGACAAATAATTTTTTATTCAACTAATAAACAATTGCTGATATTATCGATAACATCTCCGATACCGCTCGTGGAAGGCGCGAATTACCGACGGATAACAGTTGGTAGAGGGCGGCCTGGGAAAAAGCGCCAATGGGAAATTAAAAATCCATACCACCCATATCCATACTACTCCGTCGTCCGGCGCCGGCTGTGAGGTGGTTGACGTCACCCCGCGAGAAAACATCCCCGGATAACGGCTCGTGCCTAAGTCGGACAGCGCTGTCTGAGACTGTCTCGGACGTCGCCGTCGTTGCGTCGCAACGCGGGAGAAGTGCGCAAGGCGATCGACGGTGAATCGAGCGTCATCACCCTGAAGGGGTTGTTGCGAGACAAGAGCGAGAACGGTCAACGGTGTTGCACGCTCGTGGCATGAGATGTAAGGCGTAAGGCGTGACGACACCCATCGACGGTGGAGACGAGGACGGCTGAATTACCGCGGCCGGGGTGCAACAAGCGTCCGCGCCGGGCAAACATGAGCGAGCCGAATCCGCGGCTGGTTGCGAGGCTCGACGAAGCGAATCGCACCGAGTTCGCCAAAATGGGTGAGTAGGGGACTCCTCGTTCGTAAAGGGCTTGGCACGGCATCTCGTGCTTTATACGGTTCCAATAACACCGGGAGGGCGAAAGTTAAAAAAAAATAAGGAGAAATAGGGGTAAATACTGGGCGTCCGCTGGCAGAAGAAGAAGGCCGGAGAAGGCCTATCGTTAGACGTTATCGTCTATAATTATTGTGCTTATGACTCTCGCGTTATTTTTGATCGCGGTGCAAATACAAAAAAGGCAAGTCGAGGATGGTGATGTTGATGCTTGCAACTGTCCGATTTTTATTTTCCGTTGCAAAATTGGGAAAGATAATAATGCTATTGAACATAATGAATGTAGTGTGATTTCTCGAAAACCCTTGTTAAGCTTCTTCAGACCCTTTCTCTCTTTAGGATTGATCTCGACGAGCTGCATGCGCCGCGTCGAACAATAATGGTTTTGAGGAGAATGTGTGTCACGCATCCGACTCTCATCTTTGCGACGCAATAACTTTGTATCGCTATGTATATACACAAGGCAGATTTGTGGATTTGTAAAATTGTGAGGACAGATAACGAGGACGCGACGTTACTTAGTAATTTTCCAAAATGTTTCAAAATCGCCTATAGAATCTCGAGAGGAAGCACGTGTATAAGTAATAAAGTATAATTTTTGACGCGTGCAACGAAATACGCAACTTACGTGCAATCTTTTTCTCTAACTGCCCTAACAATTGCCGCAACTGCAGAAAATTGTTTATGATACATCGTTTCGTAACGCTAGCGTTTACGTTTACGTTTAAAGTTCTAAATTTTAAACTTTTCTCATACTGAGATAGAAAGGTCACGTCGTTAAAGATGACAGCACGGTACGTGCTATTTTTCAAAACCGACGGTAAATTAAATGCCACCTACCCTCTCACTCACCGAGAGATGAGAATGCTCTGTGAAGCGCGAGCATCATAATAAGGAGTTTCACATCTCTCGCGTATCCTCTCATCCACCATATCCACCATCTTTAGCCTCCCCAATATTAATTACGCTCTTATTAACAACGTTCGGATATAGCTGCAACTTGTTGGAAGAGAATCAAGTTATTGCATGCTTTGTATTGAAAATCGCACTCGACGAAATTATATTAACGGTTAAATATGATTTATTTTACGAGTATTATTTTACGAGTTGGCTGGTATAATTTATATTATTTACGCCGCTTACATAGGATTTCGGCTTTACGTAGTAATTGTATGTTAGCCATGTCCTTTTTTAGGATTTTCCAGAGTCGAGTATAAGATGTGTGATTAAATAGAAAAGTATTTCTTTCGGATCTAATACAGGATTTTTAAAACTACATATAATTAATATTTCTGAATATATAAACTAACTGTTTCACATCATTTTTTTTTAATAAAAAAGATTGAAATATAATGAACTTGCATTCATTATATTATTGACAGCAAATCTCGATAATTTTCTATCCTTATAGAAATTTTGTTCTATTTTATACGTTAAATTATTGTTTCAATTTTTAAGATAACAGCACATAATATTTAAAATAGTATATAATAAAGATCCAATATTACCTTAAACGATACACTTTGATATTCTTGAGATTATCATTCAAATATCAAGCAATGCCTAAGCGATATTGTATGCTCATTGTTCATTAATCACTTATTTATTGTTGTCAAGATGTACGTCGGAAAGCAAAGGACATGGCACATCTGTAGATATGAAATGCCGGAGAAGCGAGCAGCCGATCAGTAGAGGCAGAGCAAGAAGCAAGAAGCAGAGCAAAGTAGTGAAGAAAAGATAGAGAGTGAGCACGTAGAGT